AATCCACGGCATCCTTAAGTAGTGTGACGTAGAAATTATAACTTCCGAAAACTGAATTATATAAGATTATTCTCCTATTCTCTATTTTTTCTCTCTCTCTTTTTTTTTCCTTCCCTCTCGTAACTAACTTGAGGAGCCTTTTTCCGCTTGGCCAAACGAAAGTTGCAAAGTGGATCTCCAGTCGGGATTTCGGTCGTGAGCAGATGATTTCAGCAAACTTCTTTATCGCCGCTGCGGAAGCCACCATCACTGCCGCTACCGTTACCGATACCACCGCGGCCGCTACTGTTACCGATGTCACTGCCGCCGCTACCGTTAACGTTATCGATACCGTCGCTACCGTTACTGATACCGCCACCGCCGCTACCATTACAGATATCACTGCCGCTGCTACCGTTACCAATACCGCCACCGCCGCTACCGTTACCGCCACCACTACCGTCACCATCGATTTGCATTTGTTTGCATTTGTTTGCATTTGTATTATCAGATTGTCATTATCATTATCATCAGTATTATTGTTATTATCATTATTACTGTTTAACAACAAGCACTACGGTTCCTTTTACTCTCAAAACTCTGTATTTCAAAACATATTTTTCCCCCATTTAATTTAATGTTATCGTGCTGGGAGGAAATATATTGTAAAAAATGGGAAAATTGGTGTGCTGTATAGGATGGAATTATTTAAAAAATATATACATTGTAAAATGATGGTTAAAATTGTACGTATTTCCACAGAGACAGCAATACAAGAGATATATATTATTATTTTCATTATTATCACTGTCTGTTTGATATATATTTGAATGGCAAATATATCTTGCTTTTTCCTTTATTTTGTGATTACTGTTTTTTTGTTGTCATTTTTGTTATCGTTTTATTACCACTATTATCGTTATTATTACTGTTATTATCATTATTATTATTATTATTATTATTATTATTATTATTATTATTATTATTATTATTATTGTTATTATTATTGTTGTCGTTGTTGCTGTTATTATTATCATTATTATTATTGTTATTTTATCATCATTATTGTTATTATTATTATTATTTTATTATTATTATTATTATTATTATTATTATTATTATTATTATTATTATTATTATTATTATTATTATTATTATTATTATTATTATTATAATTATAATTATCATAATTACTATTATTATTATTATTATTATTATTATTATTATTATTATTAGTATTATTGTTATTATCATTATTATTATTATTAGTATTAGTATTATTATTACTGTAATTATTATTGTTATTATTATTATTATTATTATTATTATTATTATTATTATTATTATTATTACTATCGCTATTATTGTAATTGTTGTTGTTGTAGTTGTTAGTATTTCTATTATCATTATTTATTTATTTATTTATTTGTTATCTTTTAATTCTCACTATTGTTATTGATATTGTTATTGATATTATTATTATTATTATTATTATTATCATCATTGTTATTATTATTATTATTACTCTTATTATTGTTTTAGTATCATTAACATCATCATCTTATTATTATTATTACTATTATTATTATGGTGTTATTACTATTGTTAATGTTATTTTTTTATTATTATCATTATTACTATCATTACCGTCATTCTTATCATTATCACTATCACCATTGCAACCATTAACCTCTCTGTGTTTCACCAACTCCGCCATCCCGTCCTAGAAGCCATGCCTCTCCGCCGAGCATAAAAGCCGCCAGAGTGCGCGCGAGGCCTCCGTCATGAGTGAAGCGGACAGAAAATACGTTCCCTTTTGGAAATGGTGGCTACACCGGAGCGCGTCGAGCCCTTCCCTCGCCCACAAGGCCATCAGGCCGGGCGGGACAGCCGGGAAGCGGAGTAAGTATGTGAGGAAAGGACTGGCGTCTCTGGAAACGGTGAAAAGCACGCCGGACGGCATCGCGGAGAGCCAGGACTCGTCTGAGGATCTTTTCTTCACGCCGAGGGAAAATATGAGGGATTTCTTTTCGAACGACGACTTGCTCCAGGCTCAGGATGGATACTGGAGGGATTTCAAGTCATCTGAGGAATTGCACAAGGGATCCGTCAAAAGGAGAACTGAAGTCGACTCTAGCGAGAGCATTTTAGAGGACGCCGTGAGGGAAAGGAGCTCTTCGTCCAAGCGGGAAAGACGCGCCCTTTCCGCAAGCCATCTCTCGGGGAGACAAATGGCGCCTGAGCTCTCTCGGCCGAGACCTCTCACCTCAAAAATCAAGCCGGAGTCGAGGTCGGCGAGCTCTCTCGGGCTGAAGCGGACCCAGACGACGGAGGAAATGGAGGAGGGGACGGGGGAGGAGGCGGGCACCGCAAGGCAAGGAGCCGCCGCTCCGGGTGATTCGCGTAGCAGGAAATCCAAGAAAGGGAAACGAAAACAGGAGCCTGATATAAAACTGACAAAAAGGACGCTGTCGCTCACTGAGAGGGCCGGCAAGGGGAGGCGCTCGGCGGACAGCACGCG